TACAGGCTCGATGCTCTGTAGTCTACTTGTGCCGTTGCCAACACTAGCCCTTCGGCAGGTACTGGTTCTACATGATTGCTGACTGCCCCGAATCGTTTGCATGCTTTATGAGTCACATGTAAGGCTTGGGTTTGAACTTTGACAATGTATTGCTTTTCTTTGGAGGACAGATGGCAAAGGAGAGCCTCTCTTCCAGCGCCTGTTTGTCAGCCCTTAAGCTTATTGAAGGAAGAGGATGACAGGCTTTGGATATATGTCCTGTCCTTGATGTGGTGAGATCAGATCAAGGAGCCATTTAGTCAAAACCAGGAGAGCGACCTTGGACGATGCAGACTGTTTGTGGAATGGCTGCTGCCAGCGGGATGAGGTTTAGGTCTTATTTAACCTGCCAAATGGTTGGTGTTCTCATGTGTTCTTATGTCACTTCTTATGTGTTCGGAGACGCGCACACATCAACATAGGTGGTTCTTTGGGCGGAATGCGTTCATGGCACCATGTCTAGACTGTTTTGTCCATATTTCACATCGTTACTTAGTCTGCTGTAATATGTTGATGCAGGCGATGCATGTTCATACCTAATTTCATAAGCATTGGTGGATGCAAATCCCCACGTTGGGCCCTTTTGGGCGTTGATTTCCCACAATTGACCCCCCCACAATTTTTGGTTGATCAACCCCCAAACCAGGGATTCTTGCATAGGGCCTTCAACATGCGCACGGCTTCCCTCAAGGAAGCTACATGCCCATATTTCTTGGAGCCGCACAAAACTTCCGGCTGAGGATGGACAATGTCTTGACGAGTCACTGCCTCAGCGAAATGAAGGGAACCCATGCTTGGTTGTGAGGTTCCCTTGGGGGGCACTTGGGGGTTGGTGAGACACGCAATGGGAACGAGCCGCGTTTATTCTCAGGGTTCAGGCTCTGCTATCAAATGGTACTCAGACACTCTCAATTACGCTTGCTTGTCTTGTGTCTGGAATGGGCTGTTTGTAGCCTGACCGGACACCGGTAGAAAAATGAACCATGCTTTTGGGGTGACTATGTTAGTGACTGTTTAGCAGGGAAGCCACCAAACAAAAACGGACTTTCAGGGTGCCACTGCACTATCCACGTGGCATGAAGCTGCCCTTGCATTTCGAAATTTGTGTTTGGACACTTGGAATGGAACGGGGCCGACTGGTGATGTTCAGTGAGGCAAAGACCAGGAGAGCGGAAACATGAGTGGCCGCTTCAGCAACGAGTTCCTCTTCAGCTGCGCCTTATGCTTCGCTTTGGCGCCTTAGCATAGGTGGCCTTCGAAAAACTCAAGTCGGAAGCCCATGCGAGGTTCGGTCGGTCGAACCTCAATTCGTCTACCATCTACTATCCATCTACTATCCAATTGAGTAGCGTTTCTTTGCTCCTCCATGTGTAAAGGTACGGAAATTATTCTTGTATATTTTTGGAAATGCGCGCCGTGCCACAGTCGCGGAAGCCCGCGGAGGCTTTGCGGAAGGTGGTTTTTCTTCTTTATTTCTTTCTGTTTTTCCGCGGAAGCTCGCGGAAGGGTTTACGGAGTATGTTTGTTTGTGCTGGTGGTGCAGCTTTTAGAAAAAGCAAGCGACAAGGAAGCCAACGATGAAGCAAATTTGCTTTGAGTGGACTGTGTGCTCATTTGGGTCGCAAGCTGTGATGCAAGGTGAGGCTTCCCAGGGAGTTCTAGGAAGTGTTCTGTCCTCGCTTTGAGTTCAGCCTGTGTATGTGCGTGCGGGCGCGTGCGTGTGAAGGAGAGAGGTTTGCGAGCGCGCGTTTCGGGCAGTCGTGGCAAACCCAAAAAGCAGAATCCCAAGCGCGGACTATCGCGGAAGCCCCGCGGAAGCTTTGCGGAAGGCTCGCGGAAGCAGCGCCCGACCTTTCCCACCAGTTGCTTTTTCCTAGGCCGCCAACTCTCTTGGCAGCACGGGAGCAAGCAAGTAAGCAAGCAGACGCGCAAGCAGCAGGTTCGAAAGCTATGCTTCAACTGTAGTCGCGGAAGCGAAATGCCTCTTAATGCTGTAAACTCATTTCCGCGGAAGCAATTTTAAGCAACACACTTCGCGGAAGGTACCCCTGCAGCGCGCGGAAGCGCCGCGGAAGGGTCGGCGGAAGGTTGACTACTGTCATATCACAAGGGAAGAAACACACCCACTTAACCTGCGACCTCCGGAAGGTGCATTTTTTGCCGTTTGGCGAACATGCATATGTTTCTGCTGTTTCGCGAAAGAAGCACCGTTTGCCTGAAAAACTGCGTTTCACAAAATGCCCGTCCAACGGTCGGGAAAAGTTGCCGTTTGGACGCGTCAAATTGCCGTTTCGATTTGGCAAGCGACCGCCTGCAATGCTCAACTTGCAAGAGTGTCGTTTTGCAATAGAAGTGCCGTCTCGATGGAAAACATTGTTTTAACCAAACAGCAGAAACATGTACCCGCCGGGAAGCCACAGGCATTGGGACTGACGAAATGTCCGCACGCGCAGTAGGGTAACGCCACATGGATACGAAAAGCAATCCAATGATATATTCTATCGATGCGCAACGAAGCACGAACCAAACCACCATTTGGCCAATGGGCCCAAGCAGCAGATTGGAGGTCGACAAAATTCCCTAACCCCCCAAGAATGCTGACCACTCTGCAAACAAACATGTCCAATGGTTGAAGCATTAACTTTTCCTGCCAATGTTGGTTGAGCATCTTTGTGGTGTGTTGTCAGCCGTAAAAGAAGGGACTCGCTCCGCAATAAGGCTGCCCCCCAGAAGCTGCGCGAAAGAAAGACAAGGAGCAACTAAGGCTTGTGTCAATCAAGCCTGAACCATGGTGGCTCTCCTTGTTTTCCATTGTGGCGAAGCGCCCTAAACACTCAACGGAAGGCTGCCCCAAAGTCAACTGAGCTTCCACTCTGTGGCTTGCCTTTCTGTCAGAGAGAGAGAGGGACAGCGAGCTGCGAATGCCTATCCGTGACCTAAATCTCACAAAATACAACACTGCTCTGATAAACTGTATAAGTCAGAACAGAAAGCACCTCAGCCCATGCTGAAGACACAAACACGTTGATGCTTAAACAGGCGTGGCTGGTTTCTTGGAAGGTACCCTTCTCAGGTTGTGCTTTGTTTTGTTTATCAGGAACCACAAGGAAAAGCCGCCCTATTCTGAGAGATACAGTATGTACCGAAACAATGGCCAGCATCAGGTGTGCGTCATGTTTCCTGGCTGGCGCTTCCTGATTCTGCCGTATGGCTTGCGGCCCATGCCCCCGCGAGATCATGCATTAGCAAAGTCTCCTGAGTGAGTAGGTCTTAGACGAGGTTGCGAACAGCCAGAGTTTGTGTGATGATTGTTTATGTGCCCTTCACCAAGTCCCCACCAAATGTTTCGCAGCTTTCCCGGAGGCTCATGAAATTAGGCGGAGGAGCGCAAGCTCCGTCTGTCCAGGCACACAAAGGTGTTGCCGCTATATGAGTGATGTTGTGCTCGCTGAGCACTTGTCGCGGCGCAAGGAAGAGGATCGCCTCAAGGCGAAGGTGAGAAAAAAAGCAAGCAGGAGTTTGAGCCAGCAGTGTTCAGTTCTTCTCGTATAAAAGCTGTTCAAGATGTAGAGGCGGCAATCATGGAGGTGAAGCTTCGCGTGACTCTTGCAAAGGTGGGGCAGGCAAACCCAGACCCAGTTCATCGGCAGGTGTGTCTGTCTTGGGTTCCAGTTGGAACCAAGTTGACCGGGGCTTTGACAAGGGTCGCGGGTTCGCTTCGGTCCTAGTTGCTGGCTCGCTTCGGTCCTAGTTTTCATCTCGCTTCGGTCCTAGTTTCCTTACTCGCTTCGGTCCTAGTTTCTTCGCCGTTGACTATGGTGTTTGAGAGGCAACGTCCTTGTCGACCCCACCCCACCCGGCATGTCTTGTTGTTAGGTGTTTGAGAGGATCCTTGTGCGACCCCAACGTCCTTGTCGACCCCGACCCGGCATGTCTTGTTGTTAGGTGTTTGAGAGGCAACATCCTTGTCGACCCCACCCCGCCCGGCATGTCTTGTTGTTAGGTGTTTGAGAGGCAACATCCTTGTCGACCCCACCCCGCCCGGCATGTCTTGTTGTTAGGTGTTTGAGAGGCAACATCCTTGTCGACCCCACCCCGCCCGGCATGTCTTGCTGTTAGGTGTTTGAGAGGCAAAATCGTCGACCCCACCCCACCCGGCAGTTCTTGTTGTTAGGTGTTTGAGAGGCAACATCCTTGTCGACCCCACCCCACGCGGCATGTCTTGTTGTTAGGTGTTTGAGAGGCAACACCCTTTGCGTGTGTCCTGTTGTTAGTGCTCAAAAAGCTATCTTCCACTGCGCCTGAAGTGATCCAAAAATTGCGACAGAAGTGATCCGCAAATGCTCAAACTACGACCAAAGTGAGTGGATTTCAGCTGCGACCAAAGTGATCCAAAAACTGCGACCAAAGTGATCCCCCCGCCTTTGACAAGGGTCACGCCCAAGGCACCTGGTTAGACCAAGGGTTGCATGTTGACTGCCTTGACGTTCGGACGAGAATTGCGAAGGTTATCTCCTTTTAAGAAACCAGCAAAAAGGGGACTTCTTTTGCAACCGCCTTGCTTTGGTGGGCATTTGGCTAGCTTGTAGAATGTACTGCTGGTTTCGCTGACTATGATTGACTTTCCTGAAAATTCAGCCTAGGGTTTGACACATATCATGTTGATCAACTCAGCCCTGAAGCATCCAGGTCTTGGTGTCACAGAGCGGGTTGGCCGCTTGGATGTGCCGAAATCCACTTGCCGGTGTCTTTGTGAAGGTTGGACCACACCCCCCGAAACAGAAAATCAGAGAGTGTTTGTTTTGGTGTCCCTTGATATAAAGCCAACCAAAACGGGGTCCCAAAAAACGACACCCACTTCGCACCAGTCACTGTAAAATTGAGACAACGCCACGTACCAACTGGTGAGGATATTGCCTGGATTGTCCCCCGGGCGAACACTTCGCCGGTTTGCTTTCCGCAGCCACATTAGCCAGCTGCGCTTTGGAGCAATGTGCAGCTTCTTTGTTTGCCGCTTGGCAAAGAGAGAACACTACTTGAACGGCCAGCGAGAACGGTCTTATTGCCCCGAGTTTCCTATGTTTGCCCTTTTGGGGGCTAGACATCACCTTTCCGGCCAGTTGAGTTTCTTTTGGGGTGATGTGTTCAGGGGAAATACTGTGGATGGACGAAATTATGCACCAAATAAGAAACCCTGGGATAATGATTGCCCTGTAAATACCAACAAACAACGGTTTCCCATGGTTTCAAGCTGTTACAGGCTTTCGTCCATCCGCAATGTGGGTACCCCATACAATTGGGTTATTGATCAACATGTTGGTCTCCCTAGTTTGAGGGTCCAAGCCTCCCTGTTTGCAGGACCATGCTTAATCCTGAAGGACCTTGTGCTTGGCCTTGACAAAGGGCGCAATTTGCAGCTGAGTTCTGCATGTTTGTGACGTAGCCGTGAGCTCCGGTCCCGGCCTTCTCACTTTGCTGGTTTTGGTCTACATGTGGCAACTCCAGAATTATCAAAGATCACTGTAGTAAAGGCGTTTCATTCAAGACTTGTTGTTTTCATTTTCCTTGGAAACAAAAACATAGGGAAGTCACAAAAACAGATATCCCTCTAAACATAGTGTGTAAACCTCATGCATTTGATCATGTAGTTTCTTGCTCAAGTGTCATGTCGGGCGCTTGACCGGGCATTTTCCAAATTCGCATGGCGTCACAGCGAGGGCGCTTTGACACGCTCAATCCTCACAGAGGGTCTATAATTGGGCGCGTTACGAATTCACACGGCGCCACAGCGAGAGCCCTTGGGCACGCAGGATCCCTGCACAGGGTTCACCGGGCACTTTTCACACTCGCAGGGCGTCAGAGCGAGGGCGCTTTGACACGCAACTTTGGCAGAGGTTCATCAGGCACTTTATGCGTTCGAAAGGCGCCACAGTGCGAGCGCTTCAAGACGGGAAAGCCCCTGCAGAGCGTTCATCGGGCACTGCACGAACGCGCGAAACGCGGAGAACGATAGGGGGCTCACTACAAGTAAAATGAGTACAGCAAATATTGACGCTCGTATATATATATATATATACGTGGGCGTTCCTTTCTTTGCAACACACCCAAAGTTGAGAGGATTGGGAGGAAATGACTGTTCTGCAGCGGTCCAGGTCAAATTTAAGCTGCAGCTGCGTCAGCAGCTGTTGATGTAGTTGCAGAGGCCTGCGGTGGACAGAACATGCGGGTTGGGGTATGTTGCAAATCGGGATTTCCTCACGCCGCCACCTGACAGGAAATCCAAGGAGAACCACCAAGCGCATAAGTGCGGCGGAGTTGTCTCCAATGCTGAATGAAGGGAAGTCGCGCGAGACTTTGCGAATCTCGAGGGTTTACTAGTTGCAGTAAGTGAACACATGCCACGTGAAGGATTGGAATGTCTGTTGAAAGATGGTTCAAGCGGCAATTTGCTGGCCATGGATGTGACAGAGGCTGTTGAAGATGTCCATGTGCAGTTAGCATCGCTGAGTGCCTGACAAACTGGATGCACATGTATTGCTTTGAACGGCTCCGAAACTCCAGCCCGCACGCAGGATGACCCGACTATGCTACCTGATGTTGTTCCTGGTGTGCGGCGCAGAGCCACTGCGTGATTATCGCGCATATGGGGGAGGGGGGCTTGTCTTGCCTCAATGTACGGCGGTGGAAAGTTGTCTGAATTTGTGTCTGTGCTGTTGCAGAAATGTGGCAGGGCTATGAAACTCTTGCACCGTGGTCCGATGGCATCACGTGAGGTAACAGTAAACAAGCATCGTTGGCTGCCCGAGGGCAATCAGCAGTTGTTCAAAGGCAGGGTCCGCAGTCACATGCGTACGCTTACATCATACACTTGTATTTTGTAACCATACGTACGCTTACATACACTTAAATCCCCAAGAGCGTACACTTGAATCAGGGTAAGGTGGGGAATCCGCAATGGCTAGGATGGATGAATGGGGGGATGGATGAACAGACGGACCGACGGACGGACGGACAGATAGATGGATGCATGCACGGATGCATGGATGCACGGATGCATGGATGCACGGATGCACGGATGCACGGATGCACGGATGCATGGATGGATGCATGCAATGGCATGCATGGATGCATGGCTGCATGGATGCATGGATGCATGGGAGCTGCATGGATGGATGGATGCGGAGGGAGGGAGGGAGGGAGGGAGGGAGGGAGGGAGGGAGGGAGTTGGCAGGTAGGAAATTAAATCGTGCACGCTGGTCATTGGATTTCAAATGTGTGGAAAGGATCAACATTTGTTACCCAGGAGTAAAGCAAGGACGTGTCCAATCTCTGCTAGGAACTACTGCCAGCTTTGCTAGGTTGTCATCAAAGAAGTTTCCTTTTACTTGAACACATTGTTGGAAGAGGATGTGGGTGATCTTGCATCCATACTCTGTTTCACGAAAGCATGCCATTGCATGGTTTGGATCATGTTAAGCCTCGCCCAGGGCGACTTTCCGCAATCATGTTAGCGCCTGGTCAAGCGAGCCGACATGTTTTACAATGCTCGTCATATCGAGCACGCATGCGCATACTTGTGGCAGATGCTTACAGTCAAATGGCAGCTATGCGACACTCGTGCTTTTGGCGATGCTGTAGGATTGCTTTAAGCACAACAAGTCTGGGCATGGGGCTGTGCTCAGGAGCGCCTGCTGGTCACGGCAGGCTTGCGGGAGTTGGGTTTGCCAGCAGAGAGCCCGTGGAACGCTGAGTAACACCGTATCACCGGATTTTCTTGGCTGCGCCACTGTTCACAGGCTAGAGGAAACTTAGCTGCACACAGTGATGTTGTTATCAATCTGTCATCATGTGACCAAACCTTGCCGCCTTTATACAATTGCACCCGTGCTGCTTCAGGAATACCACCTGTAGCTTGCACGGTCCACCCATGGAGCAACCAATCATCGCAAAACCCCCAAAGTGGGTCAAGGATGAAGCAGTGCTGCCGTCCAAGCACGCGGAAGTGGAGTGTTTGATGGATGTATGACTTGTGGATCCCAATATGGCAACATGACCCTGACACAGTTTGCGAGCGGCAGTCTTCACATGGGGGCACTCTGCTTGAAAGGAGATTGCAGGGTGCCTTCTTGCTTTCGGGAATGTCTCAAACATCCTTGCTCCTGCCCGGATGTTTGTGTCAGAAAGCCAGGCAGGGATTGCACGCAAAGTGTCTTTTAGAGCTGGCAAATGGGAATTCAAATGGTAAATCCCCCGTTCCTCAACCCGCGTCAGGTTGCCACTTTCACCCACCAATCAGATGGTAGATCATGGCAAATTGGGTGTTAGTCTTGGGCATTTTGATCGCTGCTGGCAGCTTACCCTCAGCCTGTGAGCAGGTAGCTGAGTAAATGTTTGCACCTGACAGGACGCGAAGAACGAGCGCCTTGGATGAACGGCTGCAGGACAATCTTAGCAGATTCCAATACACCTGGCGACTGACTTGTTTATTTACATTTGCCCCGGCCATTAGCTTTGGGCATTTGCACATTGTTGGCCTTTTGTACCGCTTCCAAGCAGGCGATTCGTTTTGTTCCCATGCTTGCTGGCTTGCTTGGTGGGTCGGTCGGTTCGGTGGGTAGTTCGGCCGATTGGTTGGCAGGTCAGGTGGAGAGAAGGGCAACATCCCTGGCATCACCGGGCTTATTTTTCCCTTGATCTATCATCGCAAGACGGCCCCATGCCACATTGCAGCGCAGGCGTCAACTCACTTCAGTTGCTTGGGAAAAGAATCGGTCCCGACAGTTCCGATGTTGCCCGGTGTGACAGGGAGAGAGGCAACGAGTCGACCTGTTGGGCAAATTGCAGGACAATCAGCCAGTCGCAACGCATCTCAGGATGTTCAGCGCCTGCTGAGCGTTGACTGGGACCCGGACGCAAAGAACACGTCCGAAGAGAAGAGCACAGGGAACAAAGAGGATGATGAGTTTGCAGCCTCTTGGCCAACTTGATCCCTTTGCATTGCGTTTGTGAATGGCGCACGAATCATTGAGGATCAACTGTAAGTTTGATAAACCTGGTGCAAACTTTGACACATGAATAGCTTATTTTGGCAAAAACCCTAGGTGGGCGTGGATGTGTTTTGGTGCTTTCCTGAGGGTACCCGTTGTAAATGGACTCCAAAAGGAAATCCACCACCATATTCTAGCATATGCCATTCATGATTCCCAGGCTCAATCTTTCGCGTGGGTCACAGGAAGTGCGTAACGGGGACTCCGGGGCACGGGACTTGATGTTTCGATCCCGTAAGGCTGAAGACGATCCAGAAGCTGCAGGGTGCCCAGAAGCTGCCAAACAAACGAGCTTGCAAACATGTCTTAACGGATTCCTTGTGTCCAGTTGAGGTATGGCAATTTGGAACCTTTGGGCGGGCTGCAGGGGCCTTTCGCAATTGCATGGCAGATCGACCTTGTTAGGAGGAGGTGGAGGATCTGCACCATAGTCGCCACAAGGATCAGGCGCGCCTGTCAAGTTTGCCCAGGTTCTTGCGGTGAGATGCGCTCTCATTATCATGGTCAGTTTGTTCAGTGCGAGTTGGAAGAGGAGGAACGGCCAGACATGTGATGGCCCATTTTGGACCCTGGCGCCGACAAAGGGCTCTAATTTTGACATGCAAAGGCTCGCGGAGGAGAGAGGATTTCCGATATTGTGTGTGTGTGTATAAATATATTGATACTAGGAACTTTGTCACTCTCGGTGTGCAAAGCTTTACAAGTTGCATGAGCCAAGGAGGTGCTGGACCACCAGATTGCCATTGGACTGGCCATTATGTTCCTGGGCATGATTTTTATGGTCTCTTGGCCGCATTTGGTGTGTCTCTGGAGGCACCCCCCAAGCAGGGCCCCTTTTGAATTCCCTTTACAGCCACCCCAAAAAGGGTACCTTGAGAAACGTTGAAAAAAACGGCCCCCCTTAAAGCTTTGCTCTGACAGGGAAATGGCCCTCAAGAGAATTTGAGCTTCCCGGCACCCTCCAACAGCTGCAAATGTTTGTGGGAGGAAGAGTAGCTATTGTTTCCCCAAGCATCCCCCTGGAGAGCAACCATTTTTTGCAGGATTGCAGGATGGGCTGGTGATAAGGAAGCGTTGGGGGGGAGTTGTCTTGATGGGACGACAGAAGCGCCTTGACCAGACTCGGTCCAACTGGAAATTTCCCTGCCCCGTCCCGAGTTGTTGCTGCTTGATCAGCCATTGAGCGATGCATCCTTCCGTCAAGTTTCATGTTGATAGTTCATTGGAGCCACGGTGGCATGTCAGCAATCGGTGGTGAGTCTGATGCCCGAGGTCTTGCTTGTGTCTTACTCAAACAGACTCCTTGAGTTTGCCGGATCTTTCAACAGCTTGTTTTATTGTTGTTTGTGAAACTGGGTGGGTCTCAAAATTAGGAACCTCTCCAAGGGTTGGCTTGCTCTCACGGTTGCCCTTTCAAACCAACCAAAAGGGGAGTTTCGACCCATGTGGCTGGCAATTCTGCAGCGCATCCCACATTGGCCCCCAGGCTGGCTTGCTCGCAATGGTGATTGCGTATCCAGATCCACAGATCCGGCACTACTGCGCAGCCTGGCAGCAGCTGAGAGCTTTAGAACTGCGTGAGCTCCAGGCACTTCGATACATTGATCTAAACATAAATAGCTTACAGAGTTGTATTGTCATTGACATGCACTTCCATTCCGAGGGAATCATGAAGGCATTTGTTGGCCTTTTCCCAGGACTTTGCGGGATGCCGTTACCCATCATGTTTGGTTGTTGAAGCTCTCTGAGTCTACTTTTCGTGAAACCAGCCGCCATTGAAGTAGGCTGCAAGCAACGTGGGAACGTGCAAACAAATGCATGACAATATTATATACAGGCCGAAGATGCAGTGGCACCTGCGCTTTGTGAGAGAACAAGGTGCACGTGGCGTTCGGGAATCGAGGGGTTGTCGCATGAATATGCAGCAGCATTTGTTCTAGCATAATAGCTGCTTTATGTTGCTTTTCCAGAGAAGCTAAGGTGCACTCGAATTGGAAACCTTCCAATTCGACCGAATCAAGATCCGCAATCGACCATGAATTTGGGCAAGTCCTGCCTTAGATTTCTGAGATGAGACGCCGAGAAGTGGATTGTTGCAGATCGCTTTCCCTTGTTTGCTGGATTTTGCAAGCAATGATCCACAGGAATTGTGTTGCAAGTGCCTTCCTTGCTGCTGTTCTCTCAGCTTCAGAGCGTAAAGCATCACGCTGGCCGCAATACCCCCTTCAGCCTGAGACATTGCTGATCGGTGAACAGGGATGCAATAGCCACTGTTTTTCAACTGTCAAGATGCATCGGGATGCGAGAAACAAGTACGTATTGGTAATTTATCAATGTGTCCCGTTGCTTGATGGCTTCCCTTAGTTTTGCAAGGCTTGTTCTTAGACACGCGCTGAGGTTCGAATTTGCAGCTCTACGGCTGCTGTTCTGAATTATATGCCAGTTGTCAAAGTCGGGCCCGCATGTTGCGACTCTGGTGACCTTTGCGGCTTTTGGTTGCGGGATTGTTTGTTTCTTTCACAAGCTGAACTTGTTTGGAGCCTTTGCCTCCCTTTAACTACCCAAAGTTCAAAATAAATCAAATCCGAAATCAGCGCCTGAAATGACACATTCCTACTAGGTCCGAAAAGGGTTCCTCAATTTGCAAAACCCCCAGAGTGACCTGGAAGTGTCCTTGGTGAAATGACCTTGCATGACTTTGGCATGCCTCAAGTCTCGAGATGACCCGCCATGAGGACAGAGTGAGGGGTCATAGGCTTGTAACATGAACCGAAGCCGAAAGGGAATAGACCTTTGACCTCTTTACATATTTTTACTATGTTGGTTATGTTAATCCATGTTTAGTCAAGATCACAAAGGTATTCCTTTTGTTTCCAGGTCTTTCGGGGCATGTGAGTCTTGGAGATGTAAAGCAGGCAGTGGGTTTGGACAAGTTGCTAGTGGCACCCTTTGTTCCTTTGTTTGGCGGGTTCCCAGTGAACAAATGTTCAACACCAAAAAGGATTTCCTTTTTTTACTTACCAGGGTCAGTGACTCACTGGGTTGAGTTGCAGTGGTGCTGTCAGCGCAATCACGCGGAACCATTAACAGTGTAATCATTCAAGGAGAGAACTGCCCGTTGTGCACATGACATGTCAACACATTGCTGACTCTCATTGTTAATGACTTGGTGCTTTCGCTAGGGTGGCTTGTGTGTGTGGGCGTGTGCGTGTGCGTGTGCGTGTGCGTGTGCGTGTGCGTGTGCGTGTGCGTGTGCGTGTGCGTGTGCGTGTGCGTGTGCGTGTGCGTGTGCGTGTGCGTGTGCGTGTGCGTGTGCGTGTGCGTGTGCGTGTGCGTGTGCGTGTGCGTGTGCGTGTGCGTGTGCGTGTGCGTGTGCGTGTGCGTGTGCGTGTGCGTGTGCGTGTGCGTGTGCGTGTGCGTGTGCGTGTGCGTGTGCGTGTGCGTGTGCGTGTGCGTGTGCGTGTGCGTGTGCGTGTGCGTGTGCGTGTGCGTGTGCGTGTGCGTGTGCGTGTGCGTGTGCGTGTGCGTGTGCGTGTGCGTGTGCGTGTGCGTGTGCGTGTGCGTGTGCGTGTGCGTGTGCGTGTGCGTGTGCGTGTGCGTGTGCGTGTGCGTGTGCGTGTGCGTGTGCGTGTGCGTGTGCGTGTGCGTGTGCGTGTGCGTGTGCGTGTGCGTGTGCGTGTGCGTGTGCGTGTGCGTGTGCGTGTGCGTGTGCGTGTGCGTGTGCGTGTGCGTGTGCGTGTGCGTGTGCGTGTGCGTGTGCGTGTGCGTGTGCGTGTGCGTGTGCGTGTGCGTGTGCGTGTGCGTGTGCGTGTGCGTGTGCGTGTGCGTGTGCGTGTGCGTGTGCGTGTGCGTGTGCGTGTGTGTGTGTGTGTGTGCGTGTGTGTGTGTGTGTGTGTGTGTGCGTGTGTGCTTGTGTGTGTGTGCGTGTGGGTATAGGTGTGTGTGTGTAGGTGTGTGTGTGTAGGTGTGTGTGTGTGTATCTGTGTGTAGGTTTGTGTAGGTGTGCGTAGGTGTGCGTAGGTGTGTGTAGGTGTGTGTAGGTGTGTGTAGGTGTGTGTAGGTGTGTGTAGGTGTGTGTGTGTGTGGCTGTCTGTCTGTCTGTCTGTCTGTCTGTCTGTGTGTCTGTCTGTCTGTGTGTGTGTTTTGTGTTTGTGTTTTTGTTTGTGTCTTTGTTTATATTTATATTTGTTTGTGTTTGTGTATGTGTTTGTGTTTGTTTGTGTTTGTTTGTGTCTGTGTGTGTTTGTCGGTGTTTGATGCGTGTGTATGCAATAGTGTCTACGTGTGTGCGTGTGCGCGCGAGCGCATGCGTTCTTTGTTTGTGTTGTGTGTTTTTTGTTTTTGTGTATTTGTCTCTGTGTCTATCTGTGTCTCTGTCTCTGCCTCTCTTTCTCTCTCTCCCTCTCTCTCTCTCTCGCTCTGGCTCTGTCTCCGTTCTTGTCTTTGTCTCTGTCTCTGCCTGTCTGTCTTTGTCTCTGTCTCTGTCTCTGTCTCTGTCTCTGCCTTTGCTTGCTTCCTTGCTTGCTTGCCTGCCTGCCTGCTTGCTTGCCTGCTTGCCTGCTTGCCCGCCTGCTTGCCTGCTTGCCTGCTTGCCTGCCTGCTTGCTTGCTCGCTTGTTTGCTTGCGGATTTACGAGCCTCAGCACGTCACAGACTGAAGGGGACACTACTGTCGGACGGTCCGCCATTGGTTTTGCAGGCAGTCTTTGGGGGAGTTGTCGTTGTCTGGCTCTTGCCTATCTGTTTGTCAGATTCGGGGGTATGGGTTGTCATGATCCTCTATCAGTTTGGCAGATAGTTTTGGGGGACTGTGCCAATGTTCAGGGGGATGTCGTTTTTTGTTGGTCCCCAATCAGTTTCGCAAATCTCCTAGGTTTTGCAGATGGGGGGGGAATTATTTGGTCTTGATGATCTGATGGTCCTAGTCAGTTTTGCAGGTGTTTGGGGACACAATGTTTGTTGGTCCGCTACCGGTTTTACAATTGGTGGGGGATCGCTTCTTTCTTTGCTTCGGGGTGGTCTCGGTGTCGTTTGGTACCATTATAGTTGATCATTCTTATGCGAGCTGAGGTTGTGATTTTCATCGCTATTGGAATTCAGCATGCCGCGCTTGTCTCCACGACGATCGCTGCTTTGCTGAACCCACGAGTTGTCTTAGTTGGGAAAAAAGAAACCACCCATTTGCGGGGGGGGAGGTTCCCCTAGTTTGAGACCCCACATGTCCGGTTCAAAACATGGGGATGATAGTACAGAGTAATTACAGAGCTAGGGCAAAATTCATCAAAACCAACACGCTGCCATTGATGCCTTTCACACAGAAGCCAATCATGGAGTCCACATGGTGGGCCCCCTTTTGGTTGGTAGTTAATAAAAGCAAAAGCAAACCAACAGTTTTAGGGACCAAATCCGATTTTGAGAACCACCCAGGGTTGAAGCTTTGCGCGTTTCCGGAAGAGCCGCCCTTTTCGGGATGAGCAAGGGAATCAAGAAGGAAACTGTCGAACTTGGGGCATTTTTTATTTCGTGAGGGTCACTGCGCATACAGTATCCATACCCACACCAAGACTTCTTTGGCCGGGGTCCCAACAGGCGGGGTTTAGTTTGCTGACTGAGGGGCATTACACTGGTCTGAAAAGCGGCTGGAGATCTGTCGTGCACACTTTCCCTCTCTATTGGCCGCTTGGAAGCAGTGGAATCCGCCGTACCGGATACGAATCATGAAGACTCTGTAATGCTTTTCTTTCCCAACGCTACGCGTATGGAGCTTTTCCGGTTTCTCCGGGTGTCCCTTGTTTCGGTGTTCCGTGGATTGGCGCGAAACCGTGCAAACTTGCTGGTTGGCACCAAATTGGTCTTCCCCAAAAGATCAAGTCCAGAAACTTGGGGAGGGAGTTAAGCAACAGCGAGCGAAGTGAAGCCACCGCACAAGCTGCTGATGCACAGCAACACCTGTTCAGAGAATAAGGGCCATATGGAACACATTCAAAAAGCAAATCCGAAGAACCACCGACTCAAGAACACACCCAGCCGAAAACCTATACAGTCAAAAACAAACAACAAAACAAACTCGGACTTAGGAATAGACTCAGCTCAAAAAGCCAAACCCAGAAAGAACTGAAATTTCAGACTCAGAAAACAATCAATCAAAAGGCGAGTCCCCTTCCCCGACCCCCTTCCCCGACCCCCTTCCCCGACCCCCTTCCCCTCCCCCCAGCACCCCCGCACCCCCGAGTCTGAAATTGGGTCCAAGTGTATTTGTTGTTATTTGTTTCTATGTGTTTTTTTGTTTTTTTGTTTTCGCTCAGGTTGCAACTAGTTTTTCTCTCGGCCACCTCCCCCGCTTCCCTCGCTTCCCCTCCCCCCAGCCTCCCCGAGTCTGAAATTGAATCCGAATTCGGTCTGTTTGTGCTGTGTTCCTTGGGTTTTTGCATGCTTTTCTCCCCTCCACCCTCCCTCTGTTCTCCCCTCGTGCAAGTCTGAAGTCGAGCCCATTTTTTTTGGTTGACTTCGGATGTTTGGTTTGCTGCTATTTGTTGTTTGTTTCTGAGTCCAAACTTTTGCGCAAACGTGCGTCCATTCACCCCAAAGAAAAGCATATATCACTAAACCAGCACAAACTGAGCGCATTCATTGCAGATAGTCAGGAGCCACCTTGATGATGCAGGGGATGCAAAGGATGCAAAAACGTGTCCCGCTGCCCGCAGTTGAACTCATGCACTCGAACGCCTCCTTTGAGAAGCAAGGCACCACTGTCTGCAAGAAATCCACACTCTCAACAAGCGTGGATATTGAGGACTGACTCAGCTGCGTGGAAAACGCTAAGGCGCAGAAATTGACACCGCTTTCAAGGCATTCCTGCTGCGGCGGGCTTTGCTATTTCAAAGTTTGACGGAGGGGACCTACCAGCAGCTAAACTTGTCAATCTTCGACTAATGTCGACATACGCTGATCAGAGGTGGCTTCCTCTTTTGTGCAAACATGATCCGTTTCAAGGATGTTTTTTGATAGGACCTAGTGCTTCTGCACTACGCAGCAGCTGTTTGAAAATTCCAAAGCTTGATATCGGCCGTGCTTCTGGCCGGGCCCATGTCCAGCCACCCACTGCGGTTTGCTGACTACTGAAGCTGCCTCGGAAGCCTTGGTTTGTTTGGACAGGTCGACTTGCCTTCTTCGCCCCTAAGCCCACTTTGCTCCATAGTCATGATCATGCATGTCTCGCACAATGCGTTCCCTTAACTATGCAGTTTGTCGCAGCCTTGGTATTTTTCGAACCCGAGTGGCATTTGCGTGGGTGGTGTCAGTTTTTTGTCTGGATGTCTGATTTGTGTTTTTGCCAGCGCACCCGCAAGCCAAGGTGCGCCACAATTTATGCTGCTCGTTCGCACTGGCGACTTCTGATTTCGTTGAATGTGGTCTTGAAAATCCTTGATGTGAAGGCTGCTGGAAGGGGCGATGTTCTGCTTGTTGGAGTGCGGTTGGCTGTAAGGCATACTTGACCGTTGGTCCATTTTGCATTTGCAAATTTCTGCCATCTGCGCCTGTGGTTTGTGCGGGTGCTCTTTTTAAGGTTGTCTCAAAGGGAAATCAAAGAGACCACCCATATTGGGTCCGGACTCCATAGCCCATTTTGACGCAATGCAAGTTTATGTTGCAAGCAGTGATCCAAGCTACCAGCTGAGGTGTGCTTCAAGGCTGCTTGGCTCGAAGCAAGTGATTTGCTCCAATATGTGCCCCTTGCATTTTTCATAACACCCCAGTTCGGCGTCAACCTTGTGTGCAAGCCTGGCTTTTGATAGCTTCATCCGAAGTAACCATGAATCAACACAAGGGGGTGCAGCCTGCCACTATAGAAGGCTCCTACTAGAGACGGACACACCCTATTGGGATGGGGTTATGGGGTTATGGCAGGTCTTGTATCATTTCTGTTTGATCAAGGAGAGTCTCGGTCCAGTCCCCAGGTTCGGCACCGCCATATCGACTTCCGCGCAGCCTTCGCCTGAGCTGAAGTTTGTGGCAAGAACGGTTTGTTGTTTCTGTGTGAGTGGGTGTGTCCTGGATACCCTGGTGAATGAATTTGTGCCCTGGCTGGTGTGCATTTGCATATGTGTGTGTCTCTGTGTTTGTGTGTGTCTCTGTGTCTGTGTGTGTCTGTGTGTCTGTGTGTCTGTGTGTCTGTGTGTCTGTGTCTGTGTGTCTGTGTGTCTGTGTGTCTGTGTGTCTGTGTGTCTGTGTGTCTGTGTGTCTGTGTGTGTGTGTGTCGTGTAATGATTGTGTGTGTGTGTGTCGTGTGTGGTTGATTGTATGTGTGTTGTGTTGTGTGTTGTTTGCGAATTATGTGTGCGACGTCATGTGTAGTTGTTTGCCCTTGTGCCTATTTTGCCTTTTGCATTTCGATGTCTTCGTGTCTCTGTTTCCCATTGCCCCATGGTCTTTGTGTTCCGTTTGTGTCTCTTCGTTTCTCTGCCTCTGTTTGTGTTGCAGTGTGTCTGTGCGTGTTGGTCTTATATGAGCAACACGGATTGATCCGCAGGGGCGATACTGGGTATTTTCCTGTTGCGTCCCTTGTGTCCTGGGCCGGATGCGGGCTCACTTTGTTTAAGTAAGAGTGTCGAGCTTGCCCCGGTTCCAAGAAGGACTCTCGGGCTTGGAGGTTAGGGCCATCCAATCGACGAGCTTTGCTCAAGCGTCTGCCTTGGAATTGAAGCGCGCATGCATTTTGACCTGCGTAAGCGCACGACTCAATACACTGAAACGCGCATCTGCAGCGTCATGCATCAACCCCACATGCACTCAGACCTGCGGTGTGGCTAAGGGGGGCCCCATTTCACTGTCTTTCTGGACTGAACACTCTGAGAGGACTTTGCTGAACAGCCAACTGGGGACTATTGGAACCCCCAAGGCAAGGAAGCGCGACTGTTGTTTCAGACAAGCAACGATTGAATGCGCAAGAAAGGTTGCTGACGTATTTAGCTGGCGACGACAAGTTAAAGAGCGAAATGCTGGGTTGGACGCACCTGATGGTCCCAATACGATCTGGCTTGCCGCCGCTGCTGGAAGCGCGGAGAGGCCAGAGGTGGAGGAGGCAGACGCTGGCGGTTCCGGCTCCACGTAGCTGATGTGATGTCTCACTTGCCTTTTTGTTTTTGCGCTTGAAGCCATGTGCTTGCCGTTATTGGCACGCTGTGTTTGCGCGAAGCTGCCGCGTGTTGTGATGGCGCAATGCGATTGTGCAGGCTTCCTTATAGCGCGTGTCAGGTTGGCCAGATCTGTTTTAGCGCGAGTGAAACATCACGAGTGTATGCTGTGCGTTTTGTTCAGACAGTTGCGCCTCGTGTCTCACTGGAGCGGACGCGTGTCGCCCGAAGCCATTTGCAACCGGGTTCGTGTTGCGCGCAATAACTGTGAGATCGCTTGCAATTCGAGTTCTGGCTGCGGCCGTGGCCGTCACTCTGGGACACGCAGACCCAGCGCTGCGGCATCTCGTGGATGAAGCGGGCTTGTTTAATTTACTGCGCCAGCAAGGCATCAACCCTTGCAGACCTTCAGCCCGAATGGTTTCGCAGGAAGACTTTATTGGCATGTGCTAGCTCAACCAACAGGGTTGGCAAAACGATTCCAGAACGAGGCCAAACGAGTCCATACCCAGTACCCTGGCCTTGCTGAGCGAGCCATTGCTATCGCCATCGGCGCAGTTCCTTCATTTCCATGTTCGTGCCAGAACTGCCGACGCTACGTTGCTCAGTACATACGGACTGAGCAGCTACGACTGAAGCTGCCAATAGCTCGTGCGCCACACAACTGAAAGTTTGAGACAGGTGCAAGTGCCAAAGCGCAACCGGCGTACTCACTTGCTGCACTGACAAGTGTCGTGCTAGAGTTTGCACGGAAGGTTACAATAATTGCACGAAGAGTGAAAAGCCGGGTTCCCGCATTTGGTTTGAACCGCAGTGCCGTGAAGCGAACCCAACCAACTCCAAAGAGAGATGGAACCAATCCAACTGTGACATTGCGGCAAGACACAGGCAACGTTTTCTGCGCATGGGTGTTGGATGCTGCTCTATCGGTTTTGCAGGTTGATGTGCGCTGGCTTGGTGATTCCCTATTGGTTTCTTGTGGGTGAGTAGCTCATATGTTTTGACTGCTTCGAGTTTCACATGGGTGATGCAGTATGCATGTTGGCGTGCGTTGAGTTCAGTGGTGTTCATATGGTGTTGCTCGGTTGGTGTTTCCCGTTTAATATTTTGGTAGCTATTTGTGCATTGCACATGATGTACGAATGCGCAGTGAATGTGTGCCTGCGTGTTTCGCAACGGTTCGGGTTACGCGTGGAATGGTCTGTCGTGCGCGTTTGTACAGATCGGGATTTGTGGGCGCAGCGCTTGTGGGTGCTGCTTGTATGAAGCGGGCTTGTGTCACGTTGTGTGCAGTTCATGCTGTGTGGTGCACGGTCACAAGTTGGCCTCAGATCCTGCTGCTAGGTTGGGTTTGTGTTTTCCCACATTTTGGCGTTTGACGCCATCTTTGCCGGCAGTGATCTACTGTGCCTTGGCCAGTTGGCATTGTGAGCATGTGCTGTTCGCTCGGACAGGTTATCCGCCATCAAGTTGGGTCAAAGAGAGATCACCAATTTGATTTTGCAGAATAGAACGTACAGCGCTTATGCTCGCTCACAATCGGATCAACACATACATGAAATGTTTGTGTCACCTCACAATATATCATGCTTCGTGAGGCATGCCAATCTCAATTCCCATGACATAGTGAAGAGCGGTTGGTTTGTTCAGTACTGCTCCTTCAATGGCCATGGGGCCATTAAACGCCATTGAGTTGACATGCAGACGATGTCAAGCAATCGCTGGCTGAGTCACCAATGCGTTGTTGTGTTGTTTGCCATAGGCTTTGCATGGCTTTGCTACAACAGCAAAGGTTCAATACAACTCACTTTCTCGAAGCCGGCCTTTCAAGCTTTCTTGTGGCCCGTGCTTTGTCATGGCTTCCAAAAACCAGCCTTTCATTCAACGCTCTTTGGGCAAAGGAGACAAGTCCTGAGTGAAGATATGGTTACAGTCTTTGACCAGAACTTGCCCGCCGGTGTCTGGGGAACAGCTGTCGGTGCACAGGCGGAGAACAAATTTAGGGATTTGCGCTGCTCCCAATCCAGAGCGGAGCGAAACGAGATGGCAATCTGCGCTAGGTACAAATTCGGCTACACTAGGAACACCGAGAGCAAGCCGATGTGGCAGGCCGAACGCCGTGGGAGCAAGTCGTGCGTCCAAAAGGCAATGAGGAGAGCCTAGATGCGCCTTGATCGGTCATGCCATCGCGTGCACCAGGAAATGCAGCAACCTTTGGGTCCCATGAAGGGATTAATCGCCTCAACATTGACACGCCATGTGTTGGGAAAACATGTTGGATTATGGTTGCAGCCAAATGACCAAGCCATTTACTGGACCTCTCCTTACTGCTCCAATCACATTAGTGTGAGAACAACTGTGCGCAGACCGGTCAGTAGCACAGGTAGATTCATGACTACTTGTTTGATGCAGAATGAAGACTTTACTGTGAATCCGCGTCACAGAATCTAAGGAGCAGAATGTAATGCTTAAACATGTGCAGGAGCTGGTTTTCGATCTGTTTGGATTGCGCTCCTACTGCAATATCCAGAAGATGTCAGCGAATGTTGTTCGGTGGCCCTGGCAACTTTGTGTCCTAGTTGGTTTATGATGGGAGTGGCTTGATCCTTTGCACTGTGCGGAGGGTAGGACCTGCCATGTCTCTCTGTGCGGACTTTGGATGTCACACTTGTCAGGCAGTGGTCTATAGTGACTCGTTGGCACCGCAGATGACTGGGCATGTGCGTTTCGAGATGTGTGTTGGGTGATCCTAAATGGGCTGGAACAAATGGGTTCCAAATGCATGCTACACACATTGTCCTTGGGTGCAAGCTGGAACCCATCTTTTGGAACCAGTTTCAGGTCCCTCGAAATGGTTGGCGGACTTGTGGGGGACTTGTTTGCCTTTGAATTGGGCAAGCCTTAGCCCTTGATGCAAGAAATCCCAGTGCTTTCCTGCTAGGCCGACAGAGGGATGCATTGGGATCCGATGTTTCAGCCCAGAAAGGAGGGAGCTTCGATGTCGATGCGTTGGCTGGACAAATTCCACGCCAGGCCCAGGCAGCAGTTGGGACGTTTGCCTGACAACCAGTGATCAAATCGGCTTTATTTATCCCAACTGGTGCCTCTATCTGAGGATGTGTCCTGTGGTGCATCTTCGTGCTTTTCTTCTGCTGCTGGCTGGCATATGGGTGCATGTTTTTGGTGAGTTGGTGGCCGTTTTGGAGCAGGGAAATCAACAGGACACCGCCCATTTTTGGTTTTCCCCGAGTTGGAAACAAACCCACAAGTGGCCATGAGAATCATCGTAGCTGAAAGCTTTGAAAGCAGGATAAGCAAGAACACGAGATCTGGATAGCCAGCATTGGATTGCCATGTTGTAAATTGATCCCGCGCGCACCTAGACGTGCTCCTAAAGATCACGCTCAAGGTTCTGCTCAGGCGGGATTTGCGGATATCCATGGATGGGCGACTTATGGTCAACTCTTGCGTTTGTGGTGTTCCAGCATTTGTGGTGCAGCAGGAGTTTCTTGGTGCATGAATCAAATTGTTAGGACCCACCAGTGTCTTGCTGTGGAATTCTTATCAGCATCTGTAACCGACATTTGCGGCGATACTTTGCTGCAGGTTGGCAGGTCCAGGCTAAAGAATCAACACCTGAGTGGGCATCCGCTCAACAACACAATCCTGAGCCAACTTGTACATGAAGCAGATTGAAATTTGAACAATTGCCTATGCGTGGTGTCCGAGTCTTGGCTGGACTAGGGGAGGGCGAGGCAGACCGGCGCAGAATGGTTGATGAAGCTCGCAAACAGAATATTTCAACCAGGCCTTCGAACCCTCCAAGCAAACACAGCAGTTGTGGCAAGCGCCAGTTCTTTCTGGCAAGCTTCGCGCAGCTCTGTGTTTTTTTTGCGGGTTCTTCAGAGTTTGAGCTTGGGCATGAGCCTCCATTTGCGCAGGTTGCCCTTCACCTGCCGCTTGCCTTGCAAGACAGCGTGGTGTGAGACGGTGCATGCTCTGGCATTGCAAGAAAGGGAACAGGGAAACCGGAAACCCTTCAATTCCCCAACAGCGAGAGACGCTATAGGGTGTATAATCTCATCACAGGGCTCGGTTGCGCGCTGGGGTCACAGCCCTGCAAATTGAGTTAGATCGGTGTCGCGTTCGTCAAGAAAACCCTGCACGCCCGGCTGGCCAGAGGCTGGCCCTGCTGGCAACCCACTGGTTCAGAATTTGGCAGTAGGTACGCACATTTCTCTTGAGTTCCGGCTTAAAATGTGCAAAAGAGCGAAGTTCAACGCAGTATGCGAAATTATCTTCCCCAGCGCTGGTAGAAAGCTGCTACAACTTATAAGTAGAAAGGAGGTCTGCTCGAGATGTTATCATGGTTTGGCCATGTTGGGTTGCATGGCTGTTCGATGCTGACCAAAAAGCAGGGATCCAAACTGGCATTCTCTTTGAATTCCCTTGGAAATTATCCAAGCAACCAAGAAACACTACTTCACGGTTGTGTTCAATTTCCTTTGAAGGGTTTCCGTTTGCCTTTCCAAGCAAGTACCCCCAGCCCTTGTGGCAAGGTGAGGTGCCAGATGTACTTCACCACGGGCATGGAGAGGCCTCTTGGCAATGCAAGTCCCAGGCCCCAAATGCCTCAAGATGTCGCAAAAGAACAATGGCTGACCCAGTCTTTTAGAGGAAATTAGGAATGGACACGACCCAGTCTTTTAAAGGAAAGGCAAGTGAAGTCACTGCAAGGCGTATTATATATATATATATAAATATGTACATATATATAATATATATATATATATATGAATTGTTCAGGCAGTAAAAGCCTGCAGCAATAAAACGAACGCCAGTTTCCGAAGGGATTGAGGAAGTTCCGTGCCTGTTGGGTCGGATTGTCATCCCACTACGCTGCACATGTATGTTAGCTTCCCTTTACTTGCCGTTTGCTGAAGGCTTCTGCGTAATTATCGGCTTCGAATTGTATTGCTGTCATTGCTCCAGCGTTTGAGGTGAGTTCGGGACACAGCCATGAAGGCAGGGTTGGGGTGGGGTGGTTCGGAAGTTTAGATGGCTGGTGCCACGTTTCGGGCCATCCGAGCCATCCGAGCCATCCGAGCCATTGTGTCCAGTCTGACCATAGGTATTGACTGTGGAAGTGGCGAGCTCCGACAGTTCACTGACATCATATAATGTAAGTTGAAAGGTGTTAAACAAGTCCACTACAGTCGTAAGGGCTAGGAGGACGCGTTCTTGCTCTAAATGGCCATGAGGAGTTGCTTTTTGTTTTTTTGTTTTTCCCGTACATGGTAAGACTTGAAAGGATGCAGTTGTTTGTTTTGACCCGCGGCCTTTTCCATTTGCAATTTCTCGTAAGCCCTGCATGCGGAAACGGCTTTTTGGTCAAGATCTGTTTGGCTGCTGTGAGCCATGTCTCCTGCCACAAAAAGTCCTGTGAAGCTGGAGTCGCAGTACCTGAGCGCTTGCAAGAGTTGCATAGAAGGGGCCGTAATTCCAGAACGCTATTAGTTGGTCGCAGGTCCACGGGCAACCCCTTTCTTATTCATTTCAGGGATAGGCTCCCATGTCAGGTTGCAGAACAAAACCGTTTCGGGCGTGTGGCTTGTGGTTCATTGTCCGCTTAGTTGGGTGGCAGGACTCAACAAACTTATGACTGAATTATGATTGACTGCGGACATAAACACAGCACCTGTGTTTTTCGTTAATAAAGACGTCACAACACCCAGGCGGACATGCTGCTGTGGATATACCTCATGCCGAACACGCGCATTCTGCCGTGGACACACCTGAGAGTGCGACTGGGGCTTTTATGGGCAAGCCAAGGAAAAAGGGAGGCGTTCACAGACAAGAGTTCAGCATGGGTTTGTGCGTGTGTGAGTGTGTCAAAATGGAATGCAGAAGTAACCTATAGGAGCCCCTGGGGTCTACAGGACCTAATCCAGCAAGTATGATGTAAACAAAGTCCAGTTGAGACAAACCATTGAAGGAGCCTGGGTAGGCAAGCATCGGGAGGTAGGTATTATGTTTCCTTGCAGTGCTTGGATTCAACACTTTAGGTGGGCTGATTTATGATGTTTAAAGAACATGCTTGTGGAATCCTGAGGTAGTCATATACTGATTCAGAGCCATGGCCGCTCAATAGTGACTGTTGGTGACGAATGGTGACTATTTGGGGACATCAAGGACCATCCAGGGTCACAACCTTCCCATTCCCCTTGGTATGGCTCCGAATCAATACTGGAGGTATGGTCATGCTGCGTGAACTTGCTGGCGGCTAATCTTGCGATTTGATTTAATCCAGGCAGATGCTTTCAGCGATTGTCCTTTGCTGCGATTAATTGTTGTGTCCAACTTCATCCTGTGTTTGGAGCTGATACCATTTGAGGATTGCTGTTTGTTGGGATTAGATTGGGATAGCATACCTCCGTGTTTGCTACTGGGGGACCCTTACGGTCTGTGACTTTCTCGCTCCTGTGAAGTGCAAGGGCAGATGGGTCTGTCTCTGAGGGTACTGTTTTCTCTTGGTTTTTTGGTTTGCCCAACCAACAGGAAGACCGCCATGTTTTTTGGGTTGGAGGGCTATTTTACACATACCCAGATTGCTTCAGGCCCGATTTTCCCCGGCCCACTGCCCATACAGGCTTCCGGGTCTGGTGCCTTCGAATCGGAAGTAAGATACCCTAACCCCTAACACCCCTAGGGTACCCTTTGGGCAAGCAACCATCCAAAATCAAGGAGCCCCGCTTCGATTTGGTTCCAGCCAGTTTGCAGGGGAGTAAACAAAGGTTTCAGGTGCCCCATTCCAAGGCAATAGGGGCATGTTCTGTTTCCAGGTGCATCTCGGAACACACTGAGCCAGGCCCAAGAGCTCATACATTTGGGCAAGTTAGAACGACCTCACGGGTTTCAGCCAAAAGACAACGTAAAAGGGGAAATACTAGGTTGGACTTCCCCTGTTCAGAGACTCCCCAGTGGTCAGGTTGCCGAGTTCATCGAGGAGCTGTATGAGTCCTTTGAAGAGGCTGGCCTCCTCGCACTCAGCGGCTCGGGAGCAAATAGACACAGGACTCGGGTACTCAAGTACTGAAATGCTGAGGTTTGTTTGAAGGTTTGTTGTTGTATTTTTTGCGCATTTGCTCTTTGGTGGGGCTGTTGGTGCTGGTTCCTTTCTTAGGCCCCATCCCTTTTCTCTCAAATCATTTTGTGCAACCGATAAAACCTACAAAGTTGGCATTGTACAACTCATGGGGATCCCTTTTGAGCCCTTCAAAGAATTCGAATGCCGGGCTCTCCAGTGCCAAAAAACATAATGTCGCTTGTCGCTTGGCTTGCAGTTGTGAGCACGTACTTGTGGCTCGTGTGATTTGTGTGTCTTTCGCACTGGTAACCAAAGCGCTACTGAAACGTAGCCACTTTGAATGAGCACTCCTATACTACCAGTTCTCAGACGGCATGGGTTTGCCGCAGGTAAATAGTATCGCAGAGCAGCAACAGAGAGTCACAAATGTAATTATTGAGCGGTTTGTGTAAACATGTTCTGCCAAACGCGGGTATTGCCCCCTGCGCCCCCACCAAGCGGTTTAAGTCTACCCTGGGGTAGTCAAAAACGAAACCCTGTTTTGAACAGTGGTCATTTTCCCCAAACCGAAGAACCTTGGAATTTGTGGCGAAGTGAGCGGTTTTGACCGCTCTTCATGCACTGGTAGCGTTGCGAGTGTTGAGACAGAGAGGCTTGTTTCAAGCGCGTGACAGCCCATGCAAGCCTGCAGCCAAGGTTACTTGGCAAACAAATTCTTGATATATAAGACAACTCTGGAGACGTACGACCTGAACCTTGGCAGCACTGACCATGCTTCTTTGTCCTCAGACGCGTCAGTCTGCTCCAGTCCTTGCGTATAGCACCGGGCACACGTACAAACGATCTTGTCTTAGCCTTCAACAAGCGCCGGCCTAGGGGGCACCCGTCAGGTTCCGCAATGCAGCCCACAGGGCCCGTTTTTGGTCAAGCAGAACTTGGAATCGGAGAGATGCGACGTCGAAAGAGCCATTTTTCAGCCCCAGGTGGAAAAAGAACCAAGAGGAAGACTGAGAGCCGCTGCACCAGAGGATGTTGACACCAGCGAAGGAATGTTGAAACAAGCCCACGACCAGCGAAAGGAGCACAACTATGATGCAGGGTGAATTCTGGGTCCTCTCACACTAATCTGCCAAAGGTGTGTTGGCAGCAAGGAGGAAATGCCAGAGGTCGCGATTCCACACATTGGGATGCAATTGTTCTAGATGTTCAATAAGTGTTTGTTACACATTTAAGGTGTTGCCTGAGAGGACACTATCTACTGCCTACTGGCTGTTCCACATTACAAGTATTGACTCCAGACTACTTGGGGCCTTTTTGCGTTACAAGGCCTCACGGCTCGTGGAACGGCTGGGTTCAGTTTTACCTCTTGACTCGTCCAGCACTGTTTTGTTTGGTTTGTCACTGCAAATGCACACTGAGAAGGAATTACCTATGAAAACCGACATGGACTTCAAGAGGGGTCACAACATTTGAGCCCGATACATGCCTAGGGTGATTTTTCCGCTTTTACCCCGCAAACCATCCTTCAAGGATCACTTCTGTTCGTTTCGTGCATGCATAGCGAGTTGAAGAGGGATGGCGGGTGTTCCAGATTGCTCGGTCACTATGCAACATAGGGACCCCCAAATTGGAGGTGTCTCTGTGGTTTCCCTTTAAAACCACCCCGAAAACGGCACAAGCCCCGAAGGTCATCAAGTTTCACTTTGTGTGTTGTGATGGCTTGGAAGGCATGGGGCTCGGTCAAGACTTGCTGTAGTATGTGGTCATCTTTCCAAGGGACTTGCGGGACACTAATTTGCCAGTTAACTCAGGGGGATCGGTACTTCTCCCATGCTCATTGAGCGTACCAACATACTTCCAACGCGGCTAATGTCTGGAGGGGCCTCTTATCTTGCGCTGCGTGCTTAGGAAGCATTTGTTTCAGGATAGAGTCAGGCAGTACTTCTTTAGCCTGGAAGCGAAATTGGTATCGGCAATTGACATCCAAGACATGAAGCATCAGCAGTCAGGGCGCCCGAAGAGGGTTCTAATAAGTGGGTTCCAGCTTGCACCAAAGGACAGTCAGGAGTGTAGCATCCTATACCCCAAAATCCCCAAACTTTGAATCACTATGCGTTGTACTTTTTCGCTTCATCGGGTCGCACCGTACCGCACAGGCAGTGCCCAAGTCTAAGACATCGCGTGCTGTATCGGCAAACGCGGAGCCCACAACCCCGCAACATGCCCTGTTGTGCAGTTCCACAAAAAATGTTTGCCCTTTGAACGGCGGTTTTAAACTTGACCTGGCATATTGATTCCAAAAAGTGCCAGGGCTGCATGTTGACGATGCAGGGAAGCAGCCTCAACCAGACCCTGGCCCCGCTTCAAACAAAGAAAGGGTGGTTCAATAAATGTTTGAACGAGCGTTGCCTATAGCTGTCCCCATTTTTGCGGCTTTGAAATTTGTTTCACCACCACCTTTGGCCGATTCAAAGGGACTTTGGGGGGGGGGGCGTTCTCAAAATAGAACTTACAGGACTAGGCCACAAGGAAACTTACAGGACTAGGCCACAAGGAAACCAGTTTTTGTTTCTCCTCACGACTTGCCCCCACTCCGAGGAAGCCAAATATTTTTCCCAAATCCGGGGTTAGCCCATTTGACCTGACTGGCTAGTTCGGGCGACCCGCCCAGGAAGCACGCGCAGGGCAGCTATGAGCCTACGACAAGGGGCGGGGCGGTGAATGTTTCCTTAAGGTACATGTCAGAATAGGGATTTGTACCGTAAGAAATGCTTTGGTTTTCCTTTGTTCACTGTAAACCAGGATGACAACACGCCCAAACAGACGTATAATCACTGCCTACTTTGTGAGAAGCTCTCACCGATCCGGGGGGGGGGGGGGGCGGGGGTAAAACCATGACGTAGGGATCCCTAACTTCAGTAAAAAGATGGGTTTGTTTTGGCCGGTTTGTCACACAGTGGCACGCTCTGAAGCAACATTCCGGTTTCCATATCCCAAGCACCTACAAAGTCTTAACAACCACGCTCTATTTCGGGGACTGCTCATTGTTTCAATGATCCACGGCCCCCGTTTGAAGTGGTTTGTTTCAACCATTGTGGTGCTGATTAGATTTGGTTTCAGATTTAGTACACTGTCAGCCAGGTTCGTGTTTGCCTGCCCTGGTTGCCCGGCCTGGATAGGGAGTTCTTTTCGGTACGAGGTAGCACTATGCGTGGCGAGTTGGTTTTGCCAACCCCGTCAAAACCGAGTCAAACAACCTCAATAGTTCCTGAGCGCCTGTAGCGATGATTGACATCTTTTGAGAGTGCTCCTCGGCTGTGCGCCCTCATGTTCTCAAAGGAGCAGAAGCATGCCCCCTCTAAAGGGCTGGATTGAGTTTGACCCCGTCACCCTGAATCTTGTGCTACGCAAACAACGCTGGCACTTGTGCCAGGCAGACCCATTTGGCAGGTTGGCACACGTCAGCTGAGGATAGCCGAGAGCTGCTCTGGAATGTCAAGAACTGCAGCGTGCTGCATGCAGTGGCGACGCTGGCCACTTGATAAAATACAGGCTGTAGTCCCCTTTTTGCAACCCTGCGTCAATTTATGCCGCCCTCACTTGCAAATGGGTGCAAAGCCTCATCACTGTTCAGGCAGTGTAGATTTTGGGGGTCATTCAGAAGATGTGGGATGGCTTGCCAACATGAAGAGAAGTAGTCCCTGCTTTAGTGTTCCTGCTGGTTTTTGCATTCTCAAGTGGCCAGACACAGTCTCGATACGCATCGAACGGTAGTCACGGCTCATTGCAGCAGGATAGATGTTGGGGTGCGAGTCGGTTCTTTCTGGTGCTATCAAAGAACACTACCTCATAATGGTCATGTCATCATCATGTCATCTGACAAATCCCATGCAGCAAAACATAGTCTACCAGGCTGGTTGGATCCTGCTCCTCAACCTGGCCATCGTTTGCATGGACCACCTCCTTTCCAGCTGCTTGGACCTCGTGAACAGCGCCGCATACATTTTCTGGCCTAGGGCCAGGCTTCAGGAAGTGACATGCTCCGGGTCTGAAAATACGTTTCCGAATGTGGATTCCCATTTTCGGAGCATTTCTCTCCACTGACTTCGATCCTTCACAGTGAGGAACACTTTCATTTGCTGATCTCGGACTCATGGCTTCTTGAAAGATGAGGATGGCACAGCCACTTCATCCTGCCTGTTTGTCCTGCTTGGTCTCCATGCTGGACTTCGGCGCATGTCCAAGTCAGCTCACAGCCCGCCAGGCCTTCAACCACCATCCGACACCCTGTGGGTGTCCCTGAAGGTCTGGTGGAAAGATCGAGTTCACATTCTGCTCGGTTCTGGTTGGTCCAATTGACAAGTGGAACCCTCGTTTTGCAAAGGCCACTCGGCCTGTTAAAGACTGAGGCATTCGAACATATCAAGCGGTCTCCAGCTTCTTTTCGATGTGCGCCTCGTCTTTATGAGCGCTGCGTGACGCACGGCGTATCTTGTTTGGCAACAGGGCACTCAGAAAGTTCCACCCTGTAGGAGTCTTGACAATGTGTAATCCAAGGCGTGGCTTGGGCTTCAATGCACCTCTGCAAGTGCGTCATCATGATGGAAATTTCAGAGGCTACTGGGCCGCAAGCATTCCAGACATCAGCGTTCACTGGGTTTGCTTTACTACAGGGCAAGCGCTGCCGGTCTGTT